GATAACTTATATTTTGCAGAATTATTATTTACAAATACAGCAATATTGGCGGGACTAACACTATTTGGGTTAATTCTTCTTAATTTTTATGCCCCAAATTCAATAGTATTCTGAGAATTTGATAATTAATCACGTTTCCGTTTTTCTTTATTCCTTTATATTCTTACTTTATGAATTAGATGAACGTGCGAATTGCTTGGTTCTCCTGGAAAATTCTTTACACTCTGAAGTAGTTTTGCTTCCTTTTTTCTATTTTTTTTTTTCTCAAAATCATTATGGAGATGCTTTGAGCCAGCTTTTAATTAGATTATTGAGGAATTAGAAAGTGTGTTTAATCTTCTGGAAAAGTGAACACGATTAACTAACTAGATTTCTTCTTGATCTTTTCTATTTTAAAATTTTTGACATAGTGAGCAAACTCGAAGAAGTTACGTCGTTGGAATTTATTCTCCTATAGGAGTGGAGTATGGGCTGGCAATGAAAGTTGAAACAAGGTAGGCAACTTCTTTTTGTTTTATTACAATGTTAATAGAGAAATGAAAGATTCAAGTAAACAATAATGATTACGAGACAAAATGCGATTGGATCTCAATCCCTTGGGTATATATTTACATGTATTCGATGATATAGCACCAATCAAATAATTTATCTATAATAGTAAAATATTAAAGTGATAATACATGTTTAAAAATAAAAAGGGGCAGCCCAGTGCATAAAGCATTCGGAATTCATGCAGGATTCGGGGTAGGGCCGCGCCCGAAGGGGTATGATGTAGACAACATACCCTAATGCAAGTATTTAGCGGTTGCTTCCACGACTCAAACTTGTGACCTATAGATCACACAGAGACAATTTTACTATTTTTCCAAGGCTCCCTTCTTAAATAATAAGATGTGTATATATAAGACACATATTTTACATTCATTGATTTGATATAAATTTCAAGTATAGTCCGACCGCCCTCGGAGTCCGTTATTATTTTTTTACAAAATCAACATGTGCTAATAAACATGAAAAAGTGAATATAATTACAAATTCATATAGCATGACCCTAAAACACCAAAAAATGAACCCGAAAGTCATGGCGAACCGATAAGTATTGCTCACTGTATGGGTCAAAATCTATCTCTAGAATATTTTAAGTCAAAATGGCATTAGTAAAACATTCCCAGGCTGCCACGCGTCGAAGTGATCTAATTTACAACGAAGGTCATGGTCGAAGAGTCAGCAGAGACTGAAGTCGAGGAATCAAAGATCGAGGCCGAGGTCGAATACCCTTGACAGAGTTATAACGGCTAGTTTCAAGATAGGATTTTAAAGAGAATATTCACTAGAATATTTTCTGCACTTGTACTATTAGGGTTTTTAGAAACATGTTTCCTATAAACAGAAATAGACACAATGATAGGGACATGGGAGATTCATTTTGTAAAATATACTTTGACTTTAAAGAGAGAATCAGATCTTATTGCAAGCATACAAAAACAATCTTTTCACTAAGATTCTTGTCCACACTTTTCTACTGGATCCGAGAATAACTCAAATATTCAAAGGCTTGTCCATCACTCATCATTGTCAAAAAGAATATCCACTGATTTCATCCTTTCTTGGGTGACTCATTCGTTCTATTTACATAAGTGTCATTTATTGTTGTTTATCACTATTTAATGCTACATTACTTCTATTTGACTTCTTAAATACTAATTGTGTGATACCGTTGCTATTAAAGTATATCTACATATTATTTATCGCACTTCTGAGAATTTTAACTTTGGGATATTATTGTTAACTAAGATTAACCCTCATTTGTATAAATTTAATTAGTTGAACCAAGATCTATATTTTTAGTCAAACAATTTGGCGTCGTCTGTGGGGATTTCTTAGTTAAATTTTTAGTTTCCTTTAAATCTACATCTAACGCAAGTCACTAACCTCACAAACCCCAAGATTTTCTTTCTTTGTACATACAAAACCTATATGGCAGGTAACTAAGGAGAAAGGACAAAAATAACAAGTGATCTCCCTGGCAACCTCATGAACGCTATCAACGAGAGCTGCGAAATAGTGGGCAAGGACATGACGATAACGCTTCCCCTAGGCGCGAGAGGTCGCCTCCCCCATTGTAGCATAACAAAACCCAATGGAAAAGGGGCCTCCACGTCCGCAGAAGAAGGGATGCCCCTGGCTGTGAAAACTCTTCTTGAAGCTTGGCCGACCGACATGCTAGTGAGCGTGCTCAATAAGCCCGCTCCAGGCATGACTACAGAAACTGCAAAAGCTTGCATGATACAACAAACAAACGAGCAGTGCAACCGACCAAACACTCCGACGACAGGTATAACTCACAATATTACTAACAGTGCAGGTGACAACGCCCTCACTGCCGTTCTAAAGAGGATAGAAGAATTGGAGAATGAAAACAAAGCACTTCGAGATCAGATGAAAGAACACCAAGAACGAGTCGACAAGATATCGGGCGCTCCTAAGCTGTTGCTAAAAAGGGACGCTGGCAGGTTCGTAGAGCAGTCATACATCGATGACGCTTCCCCACATGCCATACCAAAGATATCAAAATGCTGCCCTACCTCAGGATATACAATGGAACGACTGATCCCGAGGATCATGTGACCCATTACGTCACTGCTGTGAAAAGCAATGACCTCACCAAGAAACAAGTGTCCTCTATTTTGCTGAAGAAGTTTGGAAAAACCCTTACGGGAGGGGCATTAACATGATATTCATAGCTACCAAACCGCTCCATAGAAATATTCGAGGAAATGACCAATAAGTTCGTAACTGCCCATGCCGGAGCCAAGAAGGTTGAATCAAGAGTAAACGACATATTCGTTATCAAGCAGTTCTTGGGAGAGGGACTGAGGGACTTCCTCACCCGATTCAACAGAGTAAGGATGACTCTACCGAATGTGTCAGAAGGGATGGCGGTCGCAACTTTCCAGAACGGGTTGAGTAGAGATGATTCAAGAGTGACTAGAAAGTTGTTGAGCCGATTGATGAAATATCCTCCAACAACTTGGGACGAAATCCGTAATGCTTATTATGCCGAGGTCCGAGCAGACGAGGACGACCTCAACGGACAAACTCATCGGCTAATCTCGGTACAAATCGAATCCAAAAATAACAAAGAGACCACATCAGGAGGGATATCCCAGTTTCGCGACCCAACAGGGAACGACACTAGCCATACGTCAGGGCGGCCACCGCACCTTCCCTTGCTATGAAGAAGGCCCATCTAGGACAAGGACAGGGACCTACCAGAATGAGAGAGGTATTCCCCATTTATTATCTGCTCACAATTTTTATGTGTCACCTAAAGAAATAGTTTACACTCTTGAGAAACTCGGAACAAAGGTAAAGTGGCCGCCGAAGATGAGATCAGATCCGAACGCTAGAAAATCTGACACCCTCTGTGAGTTCCACCAGGAACGTGGGCACAAAACAAAAGATTGCATTTCCCTCAGACAAGAAGTCGTAAATATGTTGCGGCAAGGACACCTCAAATAACTGTTAAGCGACAAAGGGAGAAACAACTTCGCCAAAGGATGTGAACACCAAGGCACGCCGAAGCCACCATCACCAGCTCGTACTATCAACATGATCATCGGCGGCGATGATGACGTCTCTTTCAATGACGTGAAGTTCACCACCATTCACAAGATCATGCGGTCTATCACCCACGAACGGTAAGACAAACTCAAACAATTATCATCTTCGATGAGTCGGATACCAGCGGTTTGAATTTTCCTCATAATGATGCCCTCGTCATTACTTTACACATTTTAGATACCGATGTCAAACGTATCATGGTGGATGATGGAAGTGGAGCGTACATTATCCATCCCCGAGTCTTCATCCAAATGAGACTCGAGGATAAGATAGTGCCACGTTGTATCACGCTAACTAGTTTTAATAATGCAGTTGAGAGGACGTTAGGGGAAATTACACTCCCCGTCTTGGCCGGCGTCGTGACTCTGGAGATGACATTCCATAGTATGGACCAGGCCACCGGTGGGATGGCCATGGATACATCCTACGAGAGCCATACCCTCCAGCCTAAACCAAGTAATTAAATTTCCAACACCATGGGAATATTCAGCATACACAGAGAACAACGCATGTCCTGAGAATGCTATCGCATTGCCTTAGACAGCACGACAACCCAACAAAAGAAAGACAAGGAAAAATGTATGTCATCATGGATCCCGAAATGGTCGAGGCTGCAGATTCGACCATAGAAGACCTCCACCCCGTTCATTTGGACCTCAATGACCATAGCAAAAAGGCCTACATCAGCTGCAAACTACGGGAACCAGGTAAATTCAGTCAATTCTTAATAACTAATGCAGATTTGTTTGCCTTCAGCGATGCAGATATGTCGGGCATCCCAAGGGAAATCGCCACACACAAATTAAACGTCGACCCGTTCCACCCCCAGTAAGACACATCAGGCATAAATTCAACCCCACCATCAATGTTGTAGTACGCGATGAGGTGGAGAAACTATTAGAGAATAGCTCCATCAGGGAGTCGAAGCACCCTAAGTGGGTTGCCAACATAGTGATGGTCAAAAAGAAAAATGGGAAATGGCAGATGCACATGGATTTCACAGACTTGAACAAAGCATGTTTGAAGGATTCGTTCCCATTACCCCACATCGACCAATTCATCAACGCAACAGCCGGGAATGAGCTATTGAGTTTCTTGGACACGTACTCAGGCTATAACCAAATACTTATGGAGGAAGAAGACCAGAAGAAGACCACGTTCATCACCTACCAAGGAACGTATTGTTATAGTGTCATGCCGTTTGGGCTAAAGAATGCGGGGCCTACATATCAAAGATTGGTAACAAAGATGTTCAAAGATCAGATCGGCAAGACCATGGAAGTACATATAGATGACATGTTGGTCAAGTCCGTAAAGGTAGAGGACCACATCGATCATTTGAAGGAAGTTTTCGACATACTAAGACGGTATGGAATGAAACTAAACCCGGAGAAATGCGCGTTTGGCGTAGCCTCAGGAATGTTTTTGGGTTTTTTTGTGTTGCAATAGAGGATCAAAGTAAACCCAGACCAAATCAAAGCTATCGAAGGGATAACGGAGCTCTTGACTACCAAGAAGCAAGTCCAAAGCTTGATTGCTCGAATCGTCGCCCTATCGAGATTTATCTTGCGGTCATCTGATAGATGTCACAAATTTTTTGCATACTCAAAAAGGACAACAGCCTCGAATGGACTCCCGAGTGTGTCCAGGATCTGCGAGAACTGAAGGCATACCTATCATCATCACCCATGCTTTCAAAACCCGAACATGGGGAGCAGCTCCTCGTCTATCTAGCCATTTTCGAAGTAGCGGTAAGTACAATCCTGATCTGCGAAAACAAAGGTACGAAATCTGCCCTCTATTACATTAGCAAAATACTCGTCGACGTCGAGACAAGGTACTCGCACCTCAAAAAATTGGCTCTGGCATTGGTCGTAGCTTCACGTAAGCTTAGACCCAATTTCTAGTGCCACCCCATCTCGGTCGTTACAACCTTTCCCCTGAGGAGAATTTTGCATAAACCTAAACTATCGGGGAGGCTGGCCAAGTTGGCCACCAAGCTAAGTGAGCACGGCATCACATACCAGCCATGAACGACGATAAAATCGTAGGTGCTCGCCGACTTCATCTCCGACTTCAGTGCAAAATAATGCCTGAAGTCGAAAAGGAAGCCATCCAAGCTTCCCTCCAAACACAAGACCTCTGGGTCCTATACACCGATGGTGCATCCAACACATCAGGGTCCGGACTGGGACTTGTACTCGAGGTCCCTACAGGCAAAGTAATTCACAGGTCCATAAGGTGCCTAGATATGACTAACAACGAGGCTGAGTATGAGGCTGTAATTGTAGGATTGAGGCTAGCACTCAAGTATGGGAAAAAACGGTTGAAACTCCGCTGTGATTCCCAGCTCGTAGTCAACCAAGTCATTGGGACTTTCCAAATCAAGGAAGAAATATTACAAAAATATCAGATCGAGATCTGCAAGCTACTACCTGAGTTCGACGAAGGCCAGCTCGACCAGATCCCACGTGCGCATAATGCCAAAGCGGACGGCCTCGCCAAATTGGCTATAACTACCAACAACATCACAACCGGGGATTAAAGCGTAGTACACCTACTCAACTCATCACTGGACCAAATTGAGGTAATAACCATAAACTTAACTTGGGATTGGCGCAATCGTATCATTGCCTAATTGCAGGACGACGCACTCCCAGACGATAAGAAAGAAGCCAAGAAACTAAGAATGCAAGCAGCCGATATAGTCTCTTTCATAGAGACCTATACAAGAGGACTTATGGAAGCCCCCTGGAAAAATGTCTAGGCCCAAACTATACTTAGCGCGTCCTCGAAGAAGTCCATGAAGGCCATTACGGTGCTCACTCCGGCAATCGAGTACTAGTTACATGCCTTATACGGGAGGATACTATTGGCCCACCATGAAAAAGGATGCCTCAGACTTCGTGAGGAAATGCGAACAGTGCCAAAGGTACGTCCCAATGATTCACAAAGCAGGAGAACACCTCCACTCAGTCACCTCCCTGTGGTCGTTCATCAAATGGGGAATGGACATCGAGGGTCCCTTCCCAGTAGGGTGAGGTAATATATGATTCCTTTTGGTTTTAACTGACTATTTCTCTAAATGTGTGGAAGCAAGAGCATTCACCCAAATACGGGAACAAGAGGAAATCACCTTTATATGGAGTAACATCATCCGCCGATTCGGCCTTCCCAAGGAGATCAGATGTGATTACGGACCCCAGTTCACATGAAAGAAAATGGACGAATTCTTCGAGAAATGGCACATCAAGAGGATACTTTCAACCCCATATCACCCAATGGATAATGGGCAAGAAGAGTCCTCCAAGAAGTCCATACGAAACATCATGAAGAAAAAACTTGAGGACGCCAAGGGACTGTGGCCGGAAATACTACCAGAAGTATTATGGTCCTACCAAATAACTCCGAAGACGAGCACAGGAGAGACGCCATACTCTTTGGTCTGCGGGACCGAAGTAGTGATACCGGTTGAAGTCGGAGAACCCAGTCTAAGGTACTCCCATGAAAGCGGTACGAGCAACGATGAGAACATGAGGCAAAAACTCGACGAGATTGATGAAGGAAGAGATATGGCGCATATAAGAATGGTCATCCTAAAACAACAAACAAAACGCTATTACAACATGAGAGAAAAGGTCCAGCCGCTTAAAGGTAGGGACTACATGGTGAAAGCCAAAACGCAAGCAAGCAAAGACCCCCGAGAAGGCAAGCTGGGAACAAACTGGGATGATCCGTACAATATCACAGCCAAAGCAAACAAGGGTTCATTCCAACTAGAGACAATGGAAGGCAAGCAACTACCAAACAATTAGAACATCGGCCACATCAAATACTTCAACTTCTAAAAGAAAAAGTGTCCTTCAAGTCGTACTCTTTTTCCCACACTTAAGTTTTTTCCGATTTGGGTTTTACCAAGGAGGTTTTTAACGAGGCGACGAAGGGAACACTTCAAGTCGAAGTATGCAAAGGAGGGACTGTTGTTACGCTTTCATTGCTTGTCTCCTCAATACTCTCTAAGTCAAACAATGAAGGGACTAGATTGACTGGGACTGGGACGCCAGCCAACACCCAAAATCTGTAACTCTCTCCAAGTATGTAACCAAAGCAATAACATCGAAGTAATAAGAAACTTAGGTTTACTAGAATACCTTTTTGGTATTAAGGTTATGTTTGACCTTGCTCGAACAAACACCTATCGGCCCTCGGCCATGAATGCGAAAAGGTTAAGTTCGACCAAGTTCGAAAAAATACCTACCGGCCCTCGGCCGCGATTTAACAAAACGGTTATGATCGACATCGCCCGAACAAACACCTATCGGCCCTCGGCCACAAATATTAAAAAGTTAAGTTCGACCAAGTTCAAACAAACACCTACCGGCCTTCAGCCACGATTTAACGAAACAGTTATGATCTACATCGCTTGAACAAACACATGTCGACCCTCAGTCTCGAATACAAAAAGGTTAAGTTCGACCAAGTTCGAACAAGCACCTACCGGCCCTCGGCCACAATTTAACGAAATAGTTATGATCGACCTCACTCGAACAAAAACCTACCGGCCCTCGGCCACGATTTAATGAAATATTTTCGACCAAGTTCAAAACAACACCTATCGGCCCTCGGTCAAATAACAACGAAGAAACACAGTCGACTTAAATAAACAAAGGGCTAATATAACCCATGAATATTCGTCTCCAAGATCACGACTAGCTAAAAGACAACAATAATGAGAAGGACAAAAAGCAAAACAAGCAAACAACAGAAGAAAAAAATATACAAGTATAGAAAATAAACCATAGGAATGGAAGAAGATGCAAAAAATAACTTTGATATTTCATACTTAAATTTTTTACAAAGGCTCTTGGAGACGCCGACAAAAACACACAGAAAAGCTAAAAAGAACACTACTGGCCATCACCATTGCAGCCTTCAGTGCCCTGGCCGGCTTGGTCTTCAACGGCATCACTACCCTGATCACCGATACCCTCACCATCTCGGCCCCCGACTCTCTCTCCATCCTCGCCCGTAGGGTATATGGAATCATCCTAAGCCTCGTCCTCGAGGCGGTCTATAGCATCCTCATCACCCATACTCTTCCTTACCAGTACGTGGAGTAGTCAGATCATAACCATAAGCAATTCGAGCCTCGTGAGCCTTGACACGAGCACCCTCAAAGTCTGCAGCAGAAATGGAGCACGCTACATGCAACTCGCGAAGCACATCCAGTCAGGCTTCGGTGTGAATCCACTCTTCATACAAGTCACAAGGAATGTTGGGGAAGCCAGAAGTCACAGATAGAGAAGGCCATTCAAGTGGTTTGGCCTTCTCGGCCTCGAGAGCAGCAAACCTATCATAAAGATAATAGGTCTCTTTCTCCAACTTCCCAATCCTTTCATCGACCCTCTCGTCTTTTAGCATTGTCGTTGACAAATCATTTTCTCTCTCGGAACGGAGAGCTCAGATCACCACCTCAAGGGACTCTTCCTTCCTTAAAGTCTCCGACCGAGTAGACTCCCCCTTGTATAGTCCCTCCATCTTCTCGGCGACCTTGCCACTAAGAGTCTTCGCTTTGAATTGACACTCCTCAAGCTGGCCTCACAGCAAGACTACCTGAGCTTGGAGATCAATGCATTGGGATTCTACCCCCCTGCTAAGATCGAGCTCTTTCTTTTTGCTCCTTAACATCCCTTCCAGGACGTTGCACTTCCCCACTACCCCCACCAGCTCCTCGTCTCTTTCCTTCAAGTCATCCCTTAGTTGGCGCACATAGCCACTTTCGCGGAGCCGGCACTGGAGCTCCCTGTACTTCTCAAGGCATTTGAAGTACTTTTCCTTAAACTTCACATAAATATCTTTACATCTCTGCTCCGTACGAGCACTTTCAATCTCCAGGACAACCATCTGCAAAACGAACAAAAAGAGTTAGGGCCTATGAAAGAGCAAAACAAAAAGAAGATAATGAACAACAAATGTACTTGCCATAAGGGCGAGACCATCAATGTTATTTGACAGGATACTGTCATTTATAGTCTTTAGGGTCGTACCCTGAATTTCAGAACAAAGAGGGCCGGGGGAGGGGACTATCTCCTCGGTGTTCATAAGAAGGTTACGACCCATCGGGATCGCAATAGTCCTTGAACCCCCTTAAAACCTCACTTCGAGTTGGGTATGCCCCTCATCGATCATCCTCAACTCGTCTATATCCATGTAGGATTTAGATCTGACATCCTCCTCAGCAACATCATTCCTTCTATCATCAGTTGAAGAAGGGACGTCCGCCATGACCCCGGAAGATGAGGCCTCTTCGCGCCTCGAAAGGGCAGGGCCATCATTATGCTCCATGCCCTTGACCGTGTCCCCCACAGGTCGCTTGCCCGCTTCCTCCGAATGAGGGGCCTCGGGACTTTCCTTAGGACTCTCTCCAATATATACTGTGGCCGTTTCTC